ATATAAGTCAAGAAAATTCAAGATTGACTTTTTTTTTAAGTGGCTTATACAGGTGACTGTATAAAGAGGTTTCATTACTTCCTAACCACTTCAGATGTGCTTTAGTCCATGTTAAATTGATTCCACATCCCTCAGAAAAAAAAAGAAAAAGAAAAAAAAAAAGGATTTCGTTGTCAACAGTAATTGCCAGGAACAGATTTTCTTCCTCCTCATCTGTCCCCTGAATTGATATTAAAAATGGTTGAAAAGCTAACAAAGATGAGGCAACCTCCTGAGGATACTTCTGAGAACACATTTGTCAAGCAGAATTTGAGTCAAGCCCTTTCATGAAGGACCTAACTAGTATGCAGATTCTTGCTGCTGTAACAGAAAAAAAGTATCAATTCCTATCTCTTGCCTGGAGATCTGTCAATATATTTTCCTGTGCAAATGGGAGTATGGTCCGCCACATCTTGTCTGCCTGTAACAAGAATGGAGTGGTAGATTCTTGTCTAATTATGTGTTAGATTTCCTAGGGAGGAAAAAGGCATGCTTTCTCAAATTCACTCTCATCCAACTCTGATTCACCTCTGAAAAAAGCCACATCTGAGATGCTGATGAATAACTAGACACTATAAGTCTTTTTGCAGCTGTGTTGTCAATTCAATTGTGAAAATTTAAAAACACCTGAGCGTCCCCAGGGGAAGCTGTTTTGTGCTTCAGTAAGTTTGGCAGGGATGGCAGTCCTGCACAGGGTGCCAAATTCCTTCCTTTTGCTTACTCATGGGGAAAGTAACTCCCATGAGTGAGGACTAGCACTTGATTTTCCCATTTACTGGCTAGATAAACAGCATTCACACACTTTTAGCTCCTGGAAATAACTCTTCCTCTCTCTTCTGAGTTCTGCTTATAAAAGCATCAGCCCAAAGTGTTCTACTCTGTGAATTTTCTAAGTTTCCCAGTCTGAACACCATTACCAAAAAGTCTCTTCTTGACATTTTGCCATTTTCAAGGTTTCCTTTCTGGTTCTTACATTGAGCTTCCCTGCCTCAGCTTTTATTTATTTATTTATTTATTCTTCCCTTTGCATTTAAATCCAGAAGGAAACCAATGGATTTCAGTATAGCTCTGAGATGACAAATGTGGCAAGGAGGGACATAGGCATCACCTCAGTGGTCGGTCCTTCATAACCATAACTGTTTCTTTCTCAAAATGAGGAACTGATACAAGAAATGAAGAGATGTGCAAGTGCCAAACTCTCCCTCTTTAGTGCGGGCTTCTTTGGGGAGTTCACAAAGACCTGCAACATATTGCTGTAAGCATGGCCATTTGTTTTCTGGAATTTTTCAGCTATCGACTGACATAGGAATCTAACCTTGCTGCAGAATTTAACTTTAGAATTTAAGCTTTTACGGTTTTACTTAGATTTCTAGCTCTCCAAGTTGCAAAGTACATGATCTTTGTGTAACCCAGTGCTGTATTATCTTCCCCAGCCTACACTCTGACAGCATTTAAAAGAAGTGTGATTTCTCTCTTTTCATCTAAGTGGGATGTGTAATGCCCCTCACTGAACATTTGGCTCACTAAATAATTTGCTCTTTCTCATTTCATCTAATAGATCCACCTAATAAGATTATTTTATTGTATGTTCCCAACATATGTTGCATGATATGTGTTAGAGTCTGTGTATAATTGTTTGATGCACAAATAGACGCTGAAAAAGTGCGAGTGAAAGAATGAGTTAGGAATTTCATCCTATTTAGCAAAATGTTTTTGCCTTTGCCTGACAGAGAAAGTAGAAGGAGTAAAAATGTCACAACGGCTTCACAAGGATGAAGCAACCTACCCTGTTCTTGTTTGATCAGACTTATCCAACATTTCAGATTCTGGCTTCCAAAATTTATTTGCCTATTTTTCATATGTGCTTCTTCAGCACATTGGTGACAGAAAATAGATTGTGTTGAAGTCTTTATGTTTATTTCATTTCTTAGTAAAATAAAGACAGAGCAAGTAGCTAATTAGTGACTCTTCCTAAAAGTATATCTAGGTACTTTAAATGGTTCTGCTGCTTTTCACTGGGTCTTCTCCCAGAATTTAAGACAAAATTCAGAGATATTCTCTGCATTTCTCACACAGTAAAAATCTGTAGGTTTGTATTGCCATTTTTGACATCAGTCTTGACTTTGATTCTCGCAGGTGTAGTTGTAAACAGTGCAATGATACAATAAAACAATGATTAATGCTCTCCCATGGGTGTTGTATGGGTGTAGCCTTTTTACTATAACCAAAAGAAATAATAACAAAATCTATGAATATTTGACATGGTTATGCTCACTATCAGTGCTAACAAAACAACGGGACCCCATAGTCTTTTTGCAAATAGAGGAAAGCGCAGTTTCCTGTTTCCACCGCTCTCTCTCTCTTCTCTCTCTCTTTTTTTTTTCCTAGAGATATCCAAATGAGTAATCAATCGGGTTTTAAGTGTGCTAGGTTCCAGTGTCACCACATCAGTTACAGCTGTTTCCTGAGATGCGAAAATATGCACTATCTTTCTAAGTCCATGCATGTATGCAAGGAATTCTCGGATGTCCAATTCTGTGTAAGGAGTTAGAGTATACTACATCTACCAGGAATATGTCACTTTCAGGCAATCTACATAGCCGAAATACAAAGTTTCCAGAGCTCACCTAATTCATCTCCAGTTGACTGATACCTTAAGTAAATAAACTGATTTTACTCCAGGAGATTTTAGGAGATTAATTTGATTTCATCACATTGTAAGGATTCCTTCTACATCACCTCTGATCATTCTCTTTCCTGGAGAGTGAGAATTTGTATTTTATTGTGTTACTCGTATCATGATTTGGGTGATTGTGGATGCAGAGCACGCCTTGCTTTTGTCTGTTCTTGGTAGGAAATTCTCTTTGTAATCAGACGCTTACTCTCATTGACAGTAATAGCAGGAAAACAGCCACTGAGATACAAGAAAGGACAAATGAGAAAGATCAGGTGGGTGAACACCTCTTCAGAGCAGAGCTGGATTTGAGCAAAGGGACAAAGCAAGCTGTAAAGTCAGGGCAAAGTGAACATCCTGGATGGGATTTGGCATCTGGAGGTTGATGCTGCACTTTTTCACCCTTGCAGGCAATGCATGCATGATTGTGCAAAGGGAAAAAGTCAATCCAAATGATCCAACTCAGTATAGGAACATTTTGAGTCAAAAGCTTGACACAGCTTTATTTCTTCTTAAAGGGAAGAACTCAAAGCAAGAACAATGTGGCTTCATCATTTGATTCTTATAGTTGTTTCCAGATCTTAAAAACTGATGAAATGTTTTCTACTCCAAACTGAGCATCCTCTGGGTAAGGAACTGACGGGCTCAGCCATACATCAACTTGCAATGAGTATATCTCTGCGATACAAGTCAGCAGACGTTTGTTTTTGTGCCATAAAAGGCCAAGCAAACATATCATTATTATTACTATTATTTTTATTTTATTGTATTTTAGGCTGGTATTTGGGGACTTTGAATATTTTTTCAAAGAAAGAACTGGCAAAGAAGATTAAGTGATCTAATAATTCGTAATAATGAGTGCTGCATTTGTGAGTACTACAGAAAGTTATATTCTGGCTTCTGGGACCATGCATGCATTTTTATAGGGGAATAAATAAATAATCATTTGTGACTTCAAAATGTAACAGTCTTCAGGAGGGAAGGGAAGAGAAATTAATGTTGATTCAGTAGGGAACTACTGATCCAATTTGCTATTTTTTCACAAGAACGGATGTGTTGAATGTGTACAGAACAATGTGTATTGTTCGTGTTTATTGTAAAATTAATACGTCAAGTACTAGCTTGATTTTCTTCTCTTTACTCTTGGACTGTGAGACATCTACATGTGAGACATAATGAGTAATTACTGAAAATTTTCCAAATTCAGACCTTTTTTAAAGGTAATGAGAAGGAGCTTTAGTGTCCTGAAGTCCTAATATCTTGCTTCAGTTTTCAAAACCAGATGCAGTTCACTTCCAAACCATCATTGTAACCTCTGAGCTATTGCTGTAATTTATGGTCAACTGAATATTGATTTACCCAGGCCAAATGATAACATATGCTAAGAGCAGTCCCAAAGGATCAGTGGAAATACTTGGGCAGTAAAATGCAACTTAGATTTTCAAAGTCTGACCTTACAGCAATAAAATGGATTAACGTGAAAGGCTTTCAAGAGTTTGCGAATCATTGATATTCCCCATTTTGAGGAAAACCAGGTAGAATTATTCATAATGAAAATATAGTTGGAACTGTTGTCAGATATGAGAGCTTGCTATTTTCTTAGGGTGTGAAAAGGTGTGTTTTACCTCCCACAGTGAGAAGCAGTAATTCTCATGAAGAGTCAGTGATATAGCTCACAAAGGGGAGTTGAATACTCTTCTGGTGTTTAATAATTATAGGTCATATTGTGCCTCTGGCTGTAAAGTAGATCTCACATCAGGAGTACGCTGCTGACCACTGGTACTAAATTCAGCTTCCAGATGGTGTAATAAGCTTCATAAGGAGTGAATGCAATTATAATAATCTAAAGGATTCTTGAGGTCTCTTCTAGGCATGGGAAACCCAACCTGTCATGCAGGGAATTTCTGGACTGCCAGAATCAATCCAAGTCTAGATTCTTTGGCCTAAAATGTATTCCTAGGCCAGACAGAAAATTATTTCATAGTCTCAGAAGATTATATTGTCACCTTTCTAGCTTATACTGACAAGGCATGTCTTGTTTAGTGAAGTCAGTAACACAAGTTGAATACCAAATAACTGCAAGGCTGCAGTAAGTCTTCTCCACTGAGAAAGGATCAAATTATGTACAGATAATGTAAAAAATAAATGAAAAAATGCCCGGGCCACGTACATTGATATGTGGAAGTCATTTATCACTATTGCAACCATACTTGTCTTACTAGTGCTGTGGGTGGAGGTGTTCTGGAGTGATGCTCCCTGGTTGCACATGGAACATGCTACAGAACAATGCCTGGACACTGTCCCTCAACCATGCTCTGCTTTCCAGAGTAAAACCATCTGGATATCTGAGCCGGGAGATAGGGGATATGCCCTGCACAGGATCCTCTCATGTGAAGAAAGGTGAGTACCTTCAGCAGCTGGATATAACCTCAGGCACTTTCATTGGCACTCGCACTACATTGCGAGTATATGGAAAGTATGTTAGAAAAGTTTATTATTAGCACCATGGAAAACTATTCCAGTTTAGAAAAAAAGAATATTAACAAATTAATGGATACAAACTGGTGGCTTTACATGGTTTATATTTAATTGTTTAGATACTGGCTTTATATAGTTTATGTTTAGTTGTCTAGCTACTGCCTTGTTGTAATGTTTCTCTCTATTTTAAGAGGACACTGACAGTTTGTGGTTAAAGATCAGCTCACTGAATGATTACAGCTGCACATATCCTTCCCTCTTCATAATTTCTTGTGGATGTTTTTCCCCCACTTCTGAAGTGTCATGTCACCTATAAGAGCAAATGATGGTGAATACAGCCTCAAGATGATGTATTCATCGTTTTAGGATACGAAGAATGAGGGGTGGGAAAACTGAGGTTGTGTGCCAAAAGTGGCAACTCTCACACAGAACTGAGAGTCCCAGCTAATGCCAACATCAGTGACACTTTACAAATGGCCGAAGTTGGTTATCACATAACAGGAGACAAAAGGCCAAATTCAGCACTTCTATATACCCCCTTTAACTCAGAGTAATTCCAGCCGTGACAGGGGAAGTATTCTTGTCAGTATTATTAGTGGTAATATTTGACTCAAACTTTGGAAAGTAAGCTTAGTCTTTGACACAGTAAATATTCAGTTTTCTGTTTACCTTCTTCATGTTAATGCCTTAAAGTTTATGCTATACTAAATAATAAATAGTACAATTTTATTAGATCGAGTAGACACTTTTACACTCAGTTATTAGCTGTTTAGACATTGGTAAATGGTCTGTTCTCAGGGATGCTGATGCTTGGATATCCTTTTTCTCTTCAAATGCACATTCCAAATCACAAGCTATTTCCCTTTTTTTAAATTTTTTTTTTTTTTCAGCTGTTTTTATTTGTGCCTGCAGTTTTTATAGTGCTTTTTTTTTTTTCTTGGGAATGGTATGGATTGATATTTTATTAATGTCCAGAAGCAGAATTCTTTATGACTCCTTATCATTTTTTCTCCCAGTCCTCAGATCAGGATCTGTGAATTAGTACAAAATAATATATAAGGAACTTTCTTTAGTGGTTTATGTGATCAGCAGAGAGCAAGCACAGAGCCTTCCAGAAACTCTTGGCAGGACCCTGAAATGATTATCACAGATGAGTGGCTGATTGCAGAGCTGAATCAATCTGTGATTACATTACAATATAAGGGCCAGTTTCTGCAACCCCTTATTCATGCAAGCAGTCCTAATGGAGGCAAAGTTAAGAAGAAGAAAGCTGAAATCATCGAATTCCTTTCAAGCATAAAAACCATCCTCAGGAGTTAAGGGGTTAATGCTTTGACAACTACCTTTCCCCTACATTTTCCATCAGCTGTATACAGTGTGGAATGAAGAGGATTAATTTAATAGTTGCTAATGGCTTAAGTAAAAGCAACCCCAGCTCCCCCCAGACTGTAGTTATTGCTAACTCAGTCTGCAATTGAGAGAAGCTATTTCTTCCAGAAATTTGTTTAACTTTGAAAGAATAGTGAAAACTTCCTTAGCCAGGAAAGGCTTTTATGGGAGAATAATTTGCAGCGTACCCATCTGAAGCTTTTTCTTGAAAGCACAGTGCATTCTACTATTATATTTTGAATTTAATTAGAACTGTAATTGGAATTAATTCCCTGTTTCCATAGCTATCCCAAACCCACTGTAACAACAGGGAAACAGGGCACAATGTGTTCAAAAGACTGAAGGATATATGATGAAAACAAAGCAGGGAGTGCTGGGTTGGGTAACATACTCCAAGGAGTGCTTATTCCATGATTCTGAAAAACATTTAAGAATCTGTGCTGAAATTTTAACTGTTTATTTAATGATTTCTGTCACTACACAAAGCATTTGAGCTTATGCTCAGCTTCAAAGCTGTGGTCAGGTTGTACTGATATTAATGGAGCAGGTGCATCCCAACAGATAAATATGAGGCAAATGCGGACTGATGCAAAGGTGCTGGTATCCAAGGAGGAGTACCAAACCCTTATTTAGAGGATTTGCTAAGATGGGATCACAATCACTCATTCCCCATTGCTTTAATGTACCCGTAATGTGAGTGCAGTCTCTGCCCCACCTGATATTAGATTTTGGACAGAGACAAGAGTGTTTTGACACACATTCCAGCAGGAAAAGTATCTATCATTTCCATCCCTTTTTAATCCTACAGTGTGTATAGTCTTGTTTTTCTCCAGGATCTCTGCAGCTCACGAGACTGCCTCGAGGCACACCTAACTGGTGCTGCCCACAAGCAGGGTCCTTTCGATTTCAGGAGCATCTGTGGAGCGCATGAAAGACTCTGAGTAATCAGAAGATGGAAAATTGATGTCAGAAGAGCAGGTTAGTTTAAAAGCTGTACTTTTTTTTTGAGATACAAATCATATATACATGTATAGAAGAGTTCAGTTTCAGCTGTTAAACATGTTAATTCAGTTATCGCAGGCAAAAGAGAGTTGCCATGAGTACAAAAAAAACCGTAGCATTCAGTCTTTCCAGGGCCCCTTTACTTTAGAAAAAGATAAGAGAAGATTCTCATTAGATAGTGATTCTGGGGTATGAGGGGAACTTGTGTATTTAGGGACTTGCAGAATAAATGCAGCTGAGGGTATGTGTTGCTCAGAAGTAGTCCTGTAAATCTTATATTGAAATGTGTATAGCTTCCAGTCTGCTTTTCAATGAGGCTTTAAAATAGTCCTTTGCGTGTATTGAGGGTTTGTTGTTACTGGGCATGGGGGAATGACAGAGATTTAGGAATGCAAAGCAGTGACGTAGATAAAATTTTTTGGACCAGACTACAAAGAGTTACACAGCAGTGGTGCATTTAAAGTGATTTCAGACTGGAATGTAGCAAATCCTGATTTTTTTTCTCAATCTCTTTTACACGGAGACAGATGTGAGATATCCAGACTGATACAAAGCCATGCAGCCTGGCTAAGTTTTGGCAACTTGAGGATTGGATGCACGCACAGTTTTGCATTTCTGTTCAAATACATTCTCCTAACGATGTAGGCATTCTTTTTAAAAACAGCAGTGAAAGAACAATATATTTTCCATGGAATCCATGACCCTATTGGAGAACCCACTATGCAGTTTGCCTAGCTAGTGAAGGAAATCTTTTCAAGAATGGGGAGAAAAGGCAGAAAGCTCTGATGGGAAAATGTCATAAATATAGGCTGTTCCTTAGGCTTGCATAATTTCCTGTTCATTGGCCAGTGACATGAGGACATTCAAGTAAAGATGTCTGGGTGCTATGTTTGATCAAATACAGTCATCTCAAAGCAGGAAATTCATTCAGATGTTAATAAAAACGGAAAGCTGTGAAATCGTAGCATTTGCTGCATAGGAGGGAGGTTTTGTCTTCCTTCCTGCAATTTACCCTACTTCATTGCTGAAGCCCAAATAACAGTGTGGATAAATGACTATTATCACAGGACCTGGATTTATATGCATTGTGCAATGGTAGGAGGAAAATTAATACAGAAGCAACAACCTGATGAAAGCCATTGTAACAATAGCCATTCCTTATGATGTGCTGCATCCTAAACTGATTTTCTCTAAATATTTAAATTGTGTATCTCTGTGTCTAAGTGAGAGACATATTCTTGTTTATGATATATTTTCTTCTGCTCCTGCAGCTTGGAACACCAGAAAGAGCCTTGTGCTCCAACACCCAAAAGCAAGCACATTCTGTGTGTACAGGGACAACCCCCTCTCTCCACACACACATCCCCCAAAAACCCCATGAAACCCCAAATCCAGACATGTTAGGCTTCTAGAGTTCCTGATATTTCCTCTTTGACTTCACCTCTGGACAAAAAAAAGAAAAAAAAGGGATGTGCAGCTGAAAACTAACTGAAAAAGACACAGGGGCAGCTGAAAACTAGACTGAAAAAGACACAGGGGCGGAGGAAAATAAGCTCCTACAATGTTTTTGAAGGATAGAAATTACCTGCTTTTTGTAAGCTATGTGCCATAAATTCAGCCTGGGCATTTGTTATCCAAATTACCTCTTCCTTTTATCTAACGTATAAAACACTGTCACACTCTTAACTAATGTCTCATTTTTGTGTGTAGATGCAATATCGGATGCTTAATTAGGCCAATAATTATTCATGCATTAGTGTGAACTTTTTGAAGTATAATGGTAACTTGTTAAATGTATAATTATTACCACTGATAATTAGCAACCTTTTTTTAATGTGCATCACTGGTCCTCTAGAAAAAAACAACATTTGCGATACTGAATATTGGAATTTAACACATATCCTCCTGTTTTATTTTTAATTAATAACTGCCACGTCTCCTCACACAATTTATTTAAGATTGAAGACTTGACTTTGCTCAAGTAAAGGTCCAAATGCCCTGTGCTTTTGGGTACTTAGTTGCGCTCTACATTTCTAAGAAGCTGCTATTTTGAATTTCCTGCTAATGTAATGACTTTCTGTTGTCTTTGCAACAGAAAAATTTAATCCTTTCTGCCACTGTTAAGAAAACCTTTAACTCTCTTAGGTAGACACACCTAATTCTGCATGCAATTCTTGAATTTTTTGCTTGTTGCTTCAGAAATTCGAAGACCAAGTGTTTGATTCTATAGCTGAAATTCTCTGTGAGGAAATCTCTGCTTTAAGATCTGTTTCACTTTAGAAATCTGAACGACAAAATATTTTGGCAATCTTGAAGACAAAATGCTCATTTCTGCTAAACATTTTAGAAATACTTCTCTAGCCTGACCTATTCCTTTTATTACTATGTGTGAATAATGTGTTGCGTATAATTTTTTGTTTGTGTGTGCATATATATAGGTATTTATTTATGTATGCTGCCTATACATACGATTTATGTGCACACAAATTCTTGAAATATAAAATTAAATACAGAAACAAATGGAATACAACAAAATGGTTTCACTATTTATTACTTAATCTGAAGTTAAGTATTTCAGAAGCTAAGGTACATCATGTTACTCTGGTCTTATGTACTTTACGGTCTTTAATTAGGAGTTCACCCATTACTTCCCAAATAACACACCCATGTGTATCTTTATCTATAGGTTGAAGTTCTCTAAAAAGAGATGTTTCTCCATTTCCTCCCCCAGGAGCTTCTCCTGGATGTTGTTGGAAGTGAATGAGATATTTCTTATCGACTTATATATTATGATGCGGATTGTAAAGCTCCACTCCCTGAGCTAATCCATCCTCTTTGCAAGTGTAAATTAAATATGGTACTTCAAATCCTGATTTTTCAAACTTTCACTTCATTGTTTCAAATGTATAGTAGCATTTGCATGATTTTTAAACTGAACAATTTATTTTTTTTTCTAATGAAAAATGGATTTTGAAAAACATTTACTGCAACTACCAATCAATTCCTTTCTGATGCTATAAAAGACTTCTGTATGTTTTCAACTTTTTTCACAGACTAAGAGGTCATACTAAAAAAAAAAATTGCTATCCAGTTTTTTAAAAAACAATAGTTTTTTGATTCATTATTTAACATAAACTTTTCTGGGGACAATTTTGTTTTTTATTTTAAAAAAGATAACAATAATAAATACAATAAACACAAATATTTTAATATTTTTGCTTCAACTTAGCCGTTCATAGAAAGATTAAATGAATCCTTTTACATATGCCATTTCTTCCTCTCAGTATATCTTCCAGTGCTGATTGTATTTGCAGATTGTCTTCTTCTGCATCACATAGAGCATCAGAAAAGAAACACCCAGCCACAACAGTTCCAATGTTTGAAGCTACTTAGATTGGAGAAACAGTTTGGACCCTTAGAAAAACATCCATTAAAGATTCTGGATCCAATTTCAAATTTGAATTATTGATTTGAATGAAATTTAATGGAGTTGAGAGATGGCATCTCGATATAGTTCTTCTCTAACCAAGTTACAAAACTGATGAAAGGCAATAAACCTAAAGAGCATGATCAAGAAGAACAATTAAAAGCTGAATAGCTCCCTGCTGTATTAGAGTGGCAATAAGCTTTTGTTGCCTTGATTTATTGCTTTGTAAATTGGGAATATCATGTCTTTTTCTGATGTTTACGTAGCACTTAACAGATAATTAGGATTGCCTACATGCTAAGTATTTCAGCCATACATGGGATTTTAATGGCAATATCCAGACCTGCATATCAATGCAGCGAAAGACCACAATTTTTGCATACTGCATCTACAAGAAGAAATGATGTTTTCTTCATTCTCCCGTAACCTTTCTTCTGCTTGGACTGTATGAACTTAGAAAAGCTGACACACAGAGCCATAGTGTAGGGGAGGTCTGGAGCATAAGGATATCCTAGCGTAACTACTTTCTTTCCATAACAAATGATTTTGGATCCTGATTTTGGATCCTGGTTAATGCATTCAATTTGTTAGGATTATCAGTATTTGTACTAAATACTGCTCTGGACAAAAAAAAAAAACAAAACTTGTTGAGTCTGTTTCTTCTTTAATCTCCTTTTGCATAGCTTGTCCAATAAGTCTAAATTCATCTTTCTAAATGTATCAGGAATACTAAAAGTTACGTGTAAGTGTTGGGCTGTATTTCCCTATTTTTTCTCTTTTTCCTGTTTTTTTTCTTTTTCTTTTTCTTTTTCTTTTTTATAGTGATGATGTATAGGAAAAGAGATTAACATAACCTTACTTTTAACTTCTTCAGCCTTGCATCTTTGTCAGACGGTCATCTGGAAGGTCTGGTGCCTTAAGAGATAGCTTTCATTCAAACTTGACTGGATGAACATACCTGTATTATCATGCTGCCCTCAAGTTAATATATGCTGCCTCTTGGGAACCCTTGCTAATTTGGGTTCAGTGCTGCACTAACTTTAATTAAATGGCTTCTAATTTTAATTCTAGTGGCTGGCTCATATCTGGATCATATCTTCTTTCATGGGAAGAATGAAGCATGTCTGCCTACAATGGTATGACAAATCCCCATTGTTATTCTTGAGCTTCTTTACTGAGTTAGTTTTACTTGGTACTGTGACTGTAAATGCCTGGTGTACTAGAAGCCATGTGAATGTCATATCGGTATTTGCCATCAGATATTCAAAGCAGTCCTGGAAATATATGTTGAAATGTTGCATTTTTTAATCAGGAACAGGAAGGAAAATCCCTTATCTGTTGTACTGCTTACCTCCAGAAAGTTGCTGCAACAGCAAAAAAACCCACAATATTCTGAGAAAAACAGGCAGCAACATCAGAAAGCAGATCAGTAATATATTTTGATTTGGATTGAAAATGATGTAACCTTCCTTTTAATTTCTTGCCGTTACATTTTCTTTTCTTTTTCAGAATATTGATGAGAGTAATTGATGTCTGCCAAAAGCAAATC